AGTATTGTTTTATGCTAAGCTGAAATTGTTTTCGTTAGTTATAAAGAAAAACAAATTAGTTCATATAAGTTACATGCTTGCTCACTCAATAGAACGAACAATTTCCTTTTACGAAACAGGTCTGAGATAGTAAACTAACATAACACACTTATTATTAAATTGTGGATTTTATGCATTTACGATGAAAATAGGTACGTGTAATTTGAAGTAGTAAAATGATTCAATGAATTTAAGAATGTCAATGAATTACATTTATCTTTTTAAAATCATTAACGAAAAAGCAAAATTGCTATTTAATTTTCACTTCTTATAATAAATGAATCATTTTTATTACTGTATTTATCATTCAAATGGTTCTGAAATGCACCAAAATGCTGAAATATTGTACAAAATAGTATCATGTATCGTTATATCCTTTATTCACGCTAAACCAATTACGTTATCAACCGTAAATTAAAAGCTACGCGAGTTACTGTCTGTCTAATTGTGCGTTTTTATTGAAACAGTTGTATATGGATGTTCTTAATTACGTACATATGTCAAACAGTAAGTCACACACGTTTGCAAGAAAGAATGTTAAACGCTTAGTATAGTGTCACCGCAATAAATTACAACTTGAAGAACGTATTAATAGGTTAATATTTATACATTTTTAAAATATTTGAACGCTGTAGAATTTAAAAAAGCTACCTAATGCTTAAAATAGTGGAAAATATCTCAAAATAGAATTTTATTTCTACTTCATTGCATAACATGAATTTATGCATTACATATATAAACTTGAATTCGCCTTAAAATGTATTTAGTCGTAATTACTATGATATAAAATAATAGAAAAATATATCGGTATATATTGAAGTTTCATTTCTTAAAAGACGTTTCACGTTCACCTTATCTGGTGGAATGTCCTATTCCAATTTAGCATGCGTGATTACAGTCATGCGTAAAATATCGATAAATAGTTCTCCTGTGTTACCATACTTGTATTACGATCGCAATTGAAAACCTGCAGTATGGATAAGTTATCGTAATTGGATAACACGGTAGCGAGTTACAAAATAACCATGCTACAGATGCAGCTCGTTACTCGACACGTACTTTTTGATAAATTGTTTCCTTATATTATGCTACATAGTGCTTTCGTTGATCTGCAGACATAAGACAGAGCGATAGTTATCAGTTCTTATCTAATTTTCAGTTATATGAAAATCTGGATGTACATTTAAAAATGTCTATAATTATATTTTTAAATTAAAAAATGTTTTTCTTTAGAAACCTAAACCGTTCTAACCTGCAACTGCATGAGTTCTCATTGGTCGCACAGATATTACTATGATGAAGTGTTTAAGGAAATTTATCGTACGTGTTTGTGTATTTTTTTACTTACATTCAATAAATTAGAAAAAAATCATTAAATATCATTAATTAAGTGAAATCGATAACTGAGTACTCATGTGAAATTTGAGTAAATAAATTAAACCTGCAGATACGTCTAAAAATATATGTTTGATAATTTAAACAAGCTACACGTATTAATTTATTAACAATTTTTTTGTTTCTATTTGTCCACTAATAAAAGCTGACATTTAGTTCGTATCAAAGATATTTATTATGTATGTGTTGCTAATTGCGATGCAACATCGTTTGTTTTTCATTATCATTAACACCGTCCGATTAATACATAGAATGGTTCCGATCAATATAAATTACATCACAAGATCGCATTAGTATTGCGAGCCACCCTACTGTCATACACCACTGCGCTCTCAATGAGAACCACTGGGACATCTCGCGAAAGCCATCATCACTTTCACATTTCACTTCGCAGCCTCAGCTTGATTAAGTTTCTCCTTCTCGTCCTTTTCTCCTAGTTGGTTCATCGTTACTTCGTAACTAGCACTAGTCTTCCTCTTCGGTCCCAGACAAGTTGTAAATACCGTGTCACCGATCCCAAAGTTTTCACCATCCTCAATGCTCTCAGGCATCGGCTGGTTGACTGTCTCAGGCAAGTACAATGCTAAAAACCCGGACACCAGAGCAACGAACCCAAACAAGACCGCTGGCACTTTGGGATTAAACGAGTCCAACAGCATGATCATAGGCGTTAAAGCTCCGCTCAGTCTAGCGCACATAGACCCGATACCCAGAGCAGTGTTCCTGACCACGGTAGGGAACAACTCGGCTGTATAATTGTAGATGACAGCGAACGAACCGGCTATACATGCTTTACCAAACAAAACGATCACCACAATCGCGGTAGCAGCCACGCTGCTCCCAGTTGGCACACTGGAAGCTACAATGCAGCAAACTCCGCCAATCAGCATGAAGGTGCTAACTACACATCTTCTCCCAGTCCTGTCCATCAACAGGCACATTAGAATGTAAGAAGGCAGTTCGACAAGACCGCTCAGGAACATCATCAGGAAAGGATTGCCAACCAGGTTGCCTACGTTCAGCGACAGTCCGTAGTAGACGAGAGAGTTGGCGAACCAATTCAGGCAGACGTTCAACATCTTCTTCCTTAAGTTTGGCGTCCTGAAGAGATCCAAGGCCCCGTAAGACCTTTCTTCTTGCCTGACGCGCTGGACCTTTGCTTCGCTGATCAGTTTAGCTGCATCGATGTCCACGTTGTTCCCATTCATCCTCAAACCTTTCTGAACTATCACTAGGGCTTCACTGACCCTGCCTTGGGCCCAAAGCCATCTCGGAGACTCATCCATGAGCCACCAGTGCCCGATCAAAAGAGCACTGTGCATACCGTAGGCGATCTGCAGCCACATTCTATCTTTGATCACAGATCCCCAGACCGCTACCAGCATGAATCCAACTGCGAACGCTAACTGGAACATCACTCCGCAGACTGTTCTCTTAGATGCGCCGACTAGCTCCATAGTCAACACGAATCCTGTGATATAGGCTCCAGCTGATCCGAAGATTCCGTAGAGGAATCTCAGAGATAAGAAAATATAGTAGTCGTTCACTAAAGCGACGCTCACTCCGAGGATTAGTTGAGCCACTGCGGACACGTAGAAGATGATTTTGCGGCCGTACTTGTCCGCTAGGCTTCCTAGGGACACTGCACCGATGAAAACGCCGAACATATAGGCCGACTGGGCCAGTGAACCCATCCAGCGCTGGGAACACACGAAGTTCCATTCCATTCCACGAGACGATTGGAAGTACTGGGTGTCGTACGTCCAGGAGTTGCATTTTTGCATAGTATTGTTTACGTCTAAGTAGTGACAAGCGTCTACCGATCGAGGGAGATCTTCCAGCATAAACGACGCGTTCCAGGCAGCCGATGAAGCATTTAGGGAGCCTAAGGACTCCGGAATGTCGCATTTGTGAGGAGGGACGGCTGCTACTGTTAGCAGTGTCAGCATGTGAAGACCGGCTGTCAAGGCACCGATAATGTGCAAGGAGAACTGCCAGCATTGATACTTCCCAAACTCGCCCAGGTACGACATTAGCTCTTCGAGGTTCTTATCGACGCTCGCCATGATTGATTCTATCCAATAAGTTTGGGAATAAGAAGGATGGAAGGACTGCTCGAGATTATACACGAATTAGACAGAATTTCTCTAGGATTTGCTAATCGTCTAAGGTGTTACATTCTAAGTTAAAAATATACTTAGTCTTTTTTGAGATTTGAAGGCAAATTCTAGACACTTCGGTGTCTTATTGCTACCGTTTTTCCGGAATTTGTTGACTAGAATCGTTTTCGTTTCTTCTTCTATTTTTTTCTATTATGAGATCTCTGTGTTTCCTCTGGCTTAGTCTTCCGTAGTGGTTGCTATGTTCCAACAACAGTTTCTCGATGTCCGTTACTAACAATCTTTCTGTAACTTCTTTACACTTTTAAGGTACAAATCGTCTGATTCCTCGATTAGCGTTGGAATTAAGTAAACGGTATGGTCGTAGAGTAATCAGAAATCGATAAAATGATTTAAAAAACCGAACAAATTGATAATTAAGGTCGAAGTAACGTGACTGCACGATCATGTGAAATGGTCTCTTCCAATGCCCACGGCGAACTGCATCACTCACTGAAGCTGCTACAGCGAACAACAGTTTCCTCGTATGCGTTCGATTGACTTTCTACGAAAACTGCAGGCGACCTTGGATCTTCGTCGTGTATATTTCTTGTTAGACTGCTTGTATCGGCACGAGTGGTTATTGTTGACTGAACAAGATTCGTGAGATGACTTCTGAGATCATCAGTCTGAAAAGAGAACACATTTTGGTCAGGCACAGGTGGTCTCTATAAGATATAAAAAATATTTCGTAGAAAACTTTGAACGTTGTTTATAATAGTATTTTTTTCAATACTTTGTATCGCTATCGAATGTATATCTTAAAACTCTTTTACTGTTTATTTCCTTTCAATATTAAAAGATATATAACTAGGATGTCGTTTATGAGACACCTAGTATACTACAGGGAAAACCACGTATCATTCACTATAACGTGTGTGGTTAAGAAACTGATTTATGTTTTTTCTAAATAGTAATTACGCATTTACGGATTTAAAGCGAATAACTATGT